TTTCAGTGAAGCCTGCCAAATGTTAACCAAAGGATTTCAGATACTATCATGAAAGGATTAGGCTGTGGAAGAGGATGGTGTAGGAACCAGTGGAGAATAAAATAACACCTATTATACATTGTACCTCTGGCTCTGCTCGTATTAAATTTCTTCAAAAGGTAAAAAGGGTAGTAATTAAGGGGCGCACAATTCCAGTATGTGCTAAATATTAAAATAACCTTTATATATACATCTAAGAATATCTTCCATTACAAAGAATAGGTCTGTGGAAGTTATGTAAGCAAGTTTTAACTGAGTGTTTCTGTTTAGCTGTTGACCATGAAAGCTGTGTTTTATTTTTACAAATTATCTTTGAGATTCTTTCCTTGTCAAAGCATATAAAATTGCACTTAACACGAGATCTGAGGAATGATCTCAGCTTTTGGATGCCACATTATGGCTTCTTTTTTTTTTTTTTCTTTTTCCCCCTAGGGTTGAATACTATTAAGGTTGTAGGACTGATTGGTGGGGAGGAGTTGTTTTTGTTGCTAGCTAAGGAAAAAAGGAAAGAGAGGAGAATGGTCCATGCTGCTGAAGTCTGCAGGGAGGTCTGTTTTGAAGGGCGGGTGACGTTACGGGGATCCTGCTGGGGATCCTCCTGTTAAATAGGATGATAAAAGAGGACAGGGCAGCATGCGGGTCTGTCTGCTTCTTTCACCCTCTTGCCCTTGTCTTTAGGAGATCAGAAATCGTTGGAATCTGAAGCAGGAGTTGAAGGAAGAACTTGAATCCATCTGGAGGACTCTTCAGCCTTTCGTGTGGACAAACAGCAGGGTCTGACACGGTAAGGGAAGATGATTCAAGTGAGATTCTTGCCCTTGTCTTTAGGAGATCAGAAATCATTGGGATCTGAAGCAGGAGTTGGAGGAAGAACTTGAATCTATCTGGAGGACTCTTCAGCCTTTTGTGTGGACAAACAGCAGGGTCTGACACGGTAAGGGAAGATGATTCAAGTGAGATGTCCCTCTCTACAGCCTGTCCTCTAGGACCAGCTGTCTTACCAACTTTCTTTTCTTCCACCGCTCTTTTGAATTCCTTTGTAAAAAATGTCATTAGTGTCTTTGCTGTGATGTGGAATGGAAATGTGCATTTTTTCCATAGGCTAGGAGGCACTGCTTGGTTTTGCTGTATTCCTAGTCAGGAACTTTAATTTATTCTGCCTTAGAAAACTTCAATGAATTGTGAAATTATATTTAAGGGAAAACCTATTTTTTCTTTTAAAAACGCTTTGATTATTGTCAATAATGGTTGGACCGTAGTGCCTAATGATGCTTTGTTGATGTCTTTGTTAGAGCAGTTGTAACCCTTCACTTTTAAGTTCACAGCAACTTTCTAGTGACTCCAGAATTATTTGTCAAGCAGTGACAAAAGGAAAGACGAAATCTGACATATTAGATAGTTACACAGTATAAAGGCTTAGAAAAGTCTTTTGCAAGGAAATCACTCTGGCGATTGATAGAGCATTAAGCATATGCTCTGTGTTTATACGCCTAGAGCACTATACCTAAAACTCAAAATTAGTCTCTTTGGTAATCCACAACGATCTGTAATCCCCAAGGTGAGGCTACTTGAAGTACTTATATTGTACTTGGACAATTTAATAATTATGAAAATATATATAGTTAAATTTTATTTTGCCGATACTGGGTTAAGACATCTTAATGCTGTCTTAGGAACTTGAAACATGATTATTGATTTATCACAGTTCTATTAACATCTTTTCTGAAATATGCCTTAGTGTCGCCATTTAGTTTCTGTTTGCCTTTGGAAACTGTAATGAACTCAAATCAATGGTTACGATTTCTTGGGAGCAAGATTGCTGACATGTTGCTTGAAAGCAACATGTGCTTTGTGGTATCTTTAATTTATTATCTCTTTCCTGGGTAAGGACTGGTTTATGCCATTAACATCTTCCTTAAAGGTCATGTTCTGGGGTGTTTGTTCTTTCTGACATTTGTCCATATTCAGCACATATGGAAAAATTAAGTTTGCAGATGTGACCTATGTTGAGTATGATAATATTTCTGAAATAAATTAAAACTAATTTGCCTAGAAATATTATTGAGGGACTGTTTTAAATGTCAGTGTGCTAGTGAAATTAACAGTTGTTCTTTTATGGAGCATGCTGTTCTGCTGAAGTTACCCTCTTAGCAATTGTCAAAGTATAAAATCTGTTCTGAAAACTGCCTTTGCCATTTATCACGGAGGATGTTTACACTCATAAAAGTTCCTAGATTGACCACAGTGCTCAGTTTGAAATACATTTATCTGGTAAGTCACGTAGAGCATTTGTATGATGCTCTGTGCTGTCCTGAGTAGTTGTGCAAAGGACTTGATGAGACCAAGTCATGACAAGGTTATTTCAGTGTGGATACTTAAGAGAGGAAATCTTGACTATGCTGAAGTAAGTGGAAAAAATTCTCAGTGATTTCACTGTTGTCAATATTTAAACCAAATGTGAATGCTGCATCCATCCAGTCACACTACTAGTACAGTCACTTTGTTCAGATGTCTTATAGATACCTTGCTAATACAAACTGGATTGATACTACTTGCCGATTACAAGTGAAAGATATAATTTATATATTTTTGCTTATTTTTACATGGATTTGTGAAATAAATAGATGGTACTATATATGATGATTCTGGGTTTGCACAGGTTAATGGCTGATCGAGTGCTTGTGATTGGCAGTGGAGGGAGAGAGCATGCACTGGCTTGGAAGTTGGCCCAGTCTCCACATGTAAAGCATGTGTTTGTTGCTCCAGGGAATGCAGGAACAGCTGATAATGGAAAAATTTCAAATTCAGGTAAAAAGGGGGAGAAAAATAGAATATTATGCCAAGTAATCAGGAATATGGGCGTTGGAACTGAAACAAAACTGACCACATTTGTGTTGAGTCAGTAGGAGGTAACAGTTACTCTTCTCTTTTACTGGTACCACAAATTGAGGCACATATTTATTTTTTTCCTGTGTGTTTTGTTTCTGAATTTTAGAACTGCCTAATTAAACATCATACTCTATCTGTTTTTAGCCTAGCTTCTTAAGATAGTGAGGTTTATATGAGACTGTGTATTTCTACACCTCATCTCTTTCCTCCCACTGTTATGCTTAAATTCACTTACCAATTTCAGAAAAATATAACAGAGGAATAGAAGGCTCGAGCTTATTAACTTCTGGATAGAAATTTCTCTGGTGTCTGCCCAGTCTACTCAGCTAAATTTAGCTACATCATGCACTGTCATTGAGTAAATCTTTACTCAGACGTTGAAATTGAGTTTCCCTACAAACTTGTAGTTTTATTTTCTTTTTTTTTTTTGTTAAAGCAGATAAGCAGCCTTTAAAAGTTTATACTGATTACATATAGCAAATAAAATACATTTACCAAGTTAGCAGATGTGCTCTAAATATAGTAGTGCAAATTGTTCAGTGTTTCTTCTGGACTCTGTTATCATTGTTACATTGTTTGTTTTATTTTGCCTTCATGGGGGCTGTTTCATTATTTTAATCATACTTCTTAGGGCAATGGAACAATGATATTCTCATGTCCCATCTCTTATTAGGCTTTACAGTGGTAACTTAATTATATTTTTTTTTTTCCTTTTCAGCTGTATTAGTGAGCAATCACACGATTGTTACCCAGTTCTGCAAAGATCATAACATTGGGCTTGTGTTAGTTGGACAAGAAGCTCTTTTAGCAGCTGGTAAGGCTGAAATAAATTAACTTGACAGAAAAAATCAGCACCTTGAAGTCTGCTTTAAAACGACCACTTTCAGATCTTAGGACACACACTGACTTAATTAAACTGAAGAGCAAAAAAAATTGGATTATCTTGTAGATATAAATCGTAGTCATTTAAAACACTTGGCTTCATAGCTATATGCTGGTTTTTTGTATGTTAGAAATCAGCAGGGGAAATAATGCAGGATCAAGAGTCATTAATGGTTACAAGTTCCTCTTGTATCTTCTGCTCTGCTTTCCTTTATATAAAGAATTTTCTTGGAACAGGCCTAACATTGTTGCTGTATGCAACAGTACTCAGACCATCAGGTACATTTAAAGTAATGTGAGGTAAGATCTCCCTGTCTTAAATAGTGAACAGAAGTACCAGACATCCTAATGATGTCCAGAACATCCAGACCACCCATGACAGTAATAGTCATGGGGTGGTAACTGTGACAGTGCCTTAGTGATGTAAAGAGCTAAAGACTCTTAAATGATGAAACAGGTCATTGGATATGCAGAATCTTATTTTAAGGATGAATTGCCTGTCTGAGACAAGGAAGAGCGTAACAGACTGCTGGAATGGTTATGTGTTTTTTTCTTTTGTCAAAATGACTTGGTGTTTCCAAAGAGATGACTTGGTTCTTTTGCTATTTTAATAATTAGGGATTGTTGATGACTTAAAAGCAGCAGGAGTTAGGTGTTTTGGACCATCTGCAAAAGCAGCCCAGCTGGCATCCAACACCAGTTTTGCCAAAGCCTTTCTGGATCGACATGGGATCCCAACAGCAAGATGGAAAGCCTTCACCAATCCTCAGGAAGCTTGTAGGTTTATTATCAGGTACATATTCTGTATGTATGGAACTGGAAACTCCTCTGTCAAGTTGTCTATGCATTTGGCCTTCACCCATGATAGTTGCCTAGAACTTGGTAATTCTTCAACTGTTGTTCTTCTCAAGTAGCTACTGAATGAATTAGTTCTGTAATTAGACACAGATGGTGAAGGTGCAGGGACCTAAACAGGACAATTTTTCTCTTCACAGGTCACAGCTCTTCTTCCCTTTGATCAGTTTCTTCAGGATGCTAGTTAGCTATTTAAAAAAAGCAAAAAAATTGTGTCAGAGAAAAATATTTCAATAAATCTGTCTGTAAGGTCAAGAATAATTTCTACACAGATAGATACCAGCAGAATGCTATCTATGGAGTGATTTGGGAGGAACTGGTCAAATAGTCATAACTTAAGGAGGATATTTCTTCAAGACTAGACAACATCTCTCTTACATGGAGAGAGGAATGTAACTGCATATCTCTGCAATTGCTTTGAGCGGTAATGCCTCCGAAGTCATTGGGGATCCTTTGGGAGAGTAACTTACCACTGTGGCTATTTTGGTCCAGCCTCACAGCAGCTGCTGTGTTCAGCTACACTGCTCTGTGGCTGCGTGTGTCAGTTTCATGGACTCCTCGTCTTTGCTGTCACTGGTATAATCTAGTGGATTTTAATTTTTATTTTTTTTAATAAAAACAACCTTTTCGCTGACTTTGCTCTGTAGCAGCATTTAGTCTGTATTACTGCCATGTAGGAGAACAGGCCAAAAACTTGTATGTCTGTAGTAAGCATGCATAAAATTCAAAAAGGAAAACTGTATCTCAGGTCAGCGTACATACAGGGAGCTTTGTGTGAGCCTGCTTTGGCTGCTTCTGTAAACCTAGGGTTGATATTTGTCCTAATATAAATAGTCCTGTGGAAAGGAGGAAGAAGATGTTGTTTCAGAAAACAGGCTAGTAATGTGTAGAATCAGCTCTTCAAAAGGGACATTTTATTTCACTGTCCACAAGCTGGAGAGAGGTGAATGGATGAAGTGTATTTAAAATATGTTAATGTTATGCTGTTTTATTCTTTTTTTTTTTTCTTCTAGATTTAGTTTGTGTTTAAGAGTAAGTGGAGCAATTACACTAGTTCTAACATATCCTTTATATGCCAGACCTGACTCAGCCTTAACATTACAACCCCTAACAGAACTTCTATAGCGGTTTATAGAATTATATACTGTAATCTGGTGTTATAAAACTGTAAGTAATCAATGAGTTCATCTTTCCAGACCTATGACAGGAATAACACAGTAACCCAACTCAAGGAAAAGATGAAGAAACTGCAAGGTGTTAAAGTTATAGAATCATAGAATGGTTAGCAAAGGTTGGCAGGGACCTTAAAGATCGAGTTCCAACCCCCCTGCCATGGGCAGGGACACCTCCCACTAGAGCAGGTTGCTCAAAGCCCCATCCAGCCTGGCCTTAAACACTTCCAGGGATGGGGCATCCACAACTTCTCTGGGCAACCTGCTCCAGTGTCTCACCACCCTCACACTAAAGAATTTCTTTCTGGTATCTAATCTAAATCTCCCCTCTTTCAGTTTGAACCCATTACCCCTCATCCTATCACTACATGCTCTTGTAAAAAGTCCCTCTACAGACTTCTTGTGGGTCCCCCTTCAGGTACTGGAAGGCCGCCATAAGGTCTCCCCGGAGCCTTCTCTTCTCCAGGCTGAACAACCCCAGCTCCCTCAGCCTGTGCTCATACGAGAGGTGCTCCAGCCCTCTGATCATTTTCATGGCCCTCCTTTGGACTCGCTCCAACAGATCTATGTCTTTCCTGTGCTGAGGGCTCCAGAGCTGGACACAGTACTCCAGGTGTGGTCTCATGAGAGCAGAGGGGCAGAATCACCTCCCTTGACCTGCTGCCACATGTCTTTTGATGCATCTCACCTCCATGGCATGATGGGCTAGCAAGGACTGTATTTTTCTGAAGTGTTATTCTTCAACTGTTCAGAAAAACAGGAAGAATATGGGAGGCGGTTAGCTTAAAACTTATAATTTCACTGGATGCAGTAGGGACGCCTGAATCTCACTTTTGCTTTTATTTAAAGCACAGACTTTCCTGCACGAGTTGTACGGGCAAGGGGCCCTGCTGCTAGAAAAGAAGTGACTATTGCAGCCAGCAAAGAAGAAGCCTGCAGAGCTGTCCAAGAGATTATGCAGGTGGATAAATCTTTAATTATTCGGTGGGAATCCAATTCTTGATGTTCTGTAGCCTGTGAGTTTGTAATTCTGGCTACAGGAAGAAAGTATTTTCAGGACAAACTTGCCCATTTGACTAAGGAATTTCTCTGGGTATCATCCTCAAATTCTTCATGTTTGCCCTAAACAGTGGGTAGTGAGCAAAGATTTGTAGAGTTTGCGACAGAACTCTCGTTCCAGCGCTGACTCCTGCTGCCCTGCCCCTACAAATTTTTCCCTTTCCATTGACTCTTTGGGTTCAATAAGGTGCATTTCAATGTCTCATCCTTATCTCCAAATGAGATTCTATTGGCTTTGCTCAACATACCACAATTCAAGCAAGCCGATACTTTCCATATGCTTTGTTTTTTCTGTTAAAAGAAAATAAAAACATTATTTAGCCAGTAGATGTTTACTAACTGGGGATTTTTATTTTTTTTGTACAGGACAGAATGTTTGGAGAGATGGTTGTTATTGAAGAACTTCTTCAAGGGGAAGAACTTTCTGTATGTGATCGATGGTGTGGTTATGTGCTTTTATTCTTTGGCATTATTGCTATGCTCTATGCATAAACACATAAGGTTTTTTTTAAATCGTTTTTTTGTTTATTTGCACTTAACATAAGTAAATATGCAATCTGAGCAATTTCATGTCATACTAATCAATGTATGTTGTCAGTTCTGCATTAGCCATAAAACTGCAGTTATGGTGATCTTTTTAGGTGGAAAATGATCTTTTTTTCCTAAGGTGACCTAAAACATGTTTGTGTGGACTTTATCTTGGTAATTCTTGTTACATCAATAATTTTGTGCTAATATTTAGTGCCTGTCTTAGCACTTACGTTACCATGAATTACTACTCAGTGGCAAGATAAAGCTTAAGCATGCATATTATATGCCACGTGAAAACTGAAGAGAAGTTTAAGGTGCAAGGTTTGTCCTGCACTGAGAATACCTCACGCTTATTTAGGCCCCAGATCTGCAAACACACACATTAAATGTGAAACATATGAATAATTCTGCCAAGTCAATGAAGACTATTCACATGCCTTAAGGTAAACATATGTCCACATGATTGATAGGTCAAGATCTAATTAATCAGAGAGGAATTGTTATGAGGGCTACCATTTCCCTTGATTATTTAAAAATGAGAAAGAAAGCTCAAGGAATCCTTCAAGTTGGTGGGCTTGCTGCAGAATAAGTGCATCCTATTGCTTTCTGTCTTTGATTCCTAAATTTTCCTGGTGGAACTGTGCCTCAACCTGCGACCAGCAGTGTTAACTTCCCTTAGGACAGGACATCATCACTGTTTCTGTCTTGTGTGCATCTCTTAACAGTGTTTGTGCTTCACGGATGGTGTCACTGTTGCCTCAATGCCACCAGCCCAGGCCCACAAACGATTATTGGATGGTGACCAGGGCCCAAACACTGGAGGGATGGGAGCCTATTGCCCAGTTCCTCAGGTATAGCAGTCCTCCTCCTCAGCCTGCGATAAGACCAATCACATCTGTGGTTAATATATCTCCTTTAGGGCTCAGACTTGTTTCTATCACATAGGCTAGATTTCTTCTGGAATTGATTGATACTTTGCTTGTATAAGGGCAGTACAGGGCTTAAACTTTAACAGTAATTCATTAGGATTTAATGAACCAGTGTTCTGAGGAATGATCTCTCTTTTACCTTTCCCGTTATTCTTCAACTTGATGTTTCTCTGCTCATATTAGCATCACTTCAAATGTCCCTGCAAAATTCCCTGCATTACTGGAGGCTTTGTGTCTTGAACATAACCTTGGGTTTCTTGTTCTTATTCTTAAAATTGACTGCATTGTTCTAAATATGCTGCCCAAGTACATTATTAGTGTGTTTTTCTGTAAGTACAGAAACAATCTTTCTGTGTACAGCCCAGGTTGCCAGTGTCCCAAACCTCCTTAAAATTGTCCCTCTAAAGAAAGAACCAAACAAAAAATCTTGGAGGACAGAGGATCAGCATGTCTGTCCTTCAGCCAGTGGCACCCTAATGGAAGGAGTGCACTGGTTGGGAGTGGGGCAGCAGAAAACATGCCTGAGGCATTTACTTACCCCAGTCCTTCCAGGTCCTATGAGCTAGTCCAGCAAATGTCATCACTGTCTCAATCAGTTTGATGTTGATCGTCAGGTTCCAGAAGTTCTTCTGGAGAAAATCAATGCTGCTGTCCTTCAACATGTTGTTGATAGTATGAGACAAGAAGGAACAGCATATGTAGGTAAGTAAACATTCAACTGAAAAACAAGGTAAAGTCATATCGAGATCAGTTTCATTGTTAGAGATTGCTTTAGAATTCCAAATAATATTTAATTAAATTAAAAAGCAATTATTTTTTTCACACAGTGTTGAGCCTCACTGGTTTGGTTTATAGCTGCTCCTTTGCAGAGAAGAACTTTCATCTTTTCTCCATAAAATATACTGTATTTTTATTAAATATTTTTTATTAAAACAGTTGCAATCAGATTCTTTGTATTTCAGGGTACAATATATACTTGGGTTCAGTTGTACTGTTCACTTCTATATACAGCAGTGTAAGTTTTCTTAAGGTCCTCGTCTAAAGGCTGTTTTGAAAAAGGAAAGTGATACTCGTAGCTGTCACTTAATGCCAATGGCTGCTCTTGGTACTGAAGACTGTCGAGATCACATGTGAAGAGTTGGGTTCCAGTCTGCAATGTATTCTCTGCTATTTGGTAACTTTTTCACAATGTCCAAATCCACAGTAAGAATTTAGTAGGAGCTGAGCATTTTCAGAGTAATGCTGGAGGACCTGAAGCTGTTTGGGGTTTAAAATTTAACACTTGTTATTCTCTGGGAATTGGTTTTCTGATGATACAACAAAAGGCCTGCTTTAGATGACTGAATACTTATAGGTGTGTTGTAGTAGAAATCACATATTAGTAAGTTTCTGTTTGGTTTTTTTTGTTAGTATAAGTAGTGAATTCTGGCATTTTTGCCTGACATCCAGAGTTATGCATCTATATTTATGCATAACAATAGTGCACTTAATGGTAAAAAAGTCACAAGGTCTGCATAGTGGGGTTTTACAGGAACTGCTTTTCTCAACATGTTGGTTCCTTCTGATTTCTGAATGCTTGCAATTAGAGGGCTGTAGCAGAAGGTGGAACTCAACTGCTGCAGAGGGGTTGCTTTCTGTTATGTTTGGTCTAAAATGTGATGCAATGTTCCTCAGGTTGTTGCTAGCCACTACTTTGGTTATTGTGGAATTACTATGGCTTGTGTGTAACTGCTTGCAGAATCCCTGCTCCTAATTCCTTGCAGTTTGCATAAATGCATCATACGTTCCAAAATACTGTGTTGTGTTTAAAGGACTTCTTGAAAAAGAAGCACTTAAATTCATTTGCTTGGCTGTGTTCTTTCTGTTCAGGTGTGCTGCAAACAGGTTTAATGCTTACTAAAGATGGTCTGAAAATTTTAAACTTTAAATGTCAGTTTGGTGACCCTCAGTGCCAGGTGAGTGAAAGGTACTGGAAACTTAAATATGCTTTATTCTTTTACCTCTGACTGTTACCCTAAGGAAATGTGTGTGATACATTTGGATTTATGTCTTCCTTCCCCTGAACATGCAGATTTCAATAAGAATGTCTCAGATGATGTATGAGGTAAATTAAAATTTTAGCTTCTCAGCTTCTGTGAATTGTTAGTTAAAGAATATGAGTTAAAGAGCTGTTCCTCAGATTTTATTTTTCTGGATAAATGCAGAATGGTAGTGGCCTAAATTTATATTCCTTCTACATAATCTCACATCTCTTGTTTGTAAATTTGTGACTGTCGGAAAAAGATGCTGCAAATTAACCCTCACCTGTACTTTTCAAATCTACTAGCACAGGGAAATGCAGTATTTTCAGTTTCGCAGATAGAGATTTTACAGATTAATTGGATTTTCTTTATGTTGAATTTCAACAAGACAGCAAAATAAAAATTGGCTTCTATCTCTATGAAAATTTTCTGCAGGTTATTCTTCCACTGCTTAAGAATGATTTTTATGAAGTGATTCAAGCAACAATTGATGGCAAACTCTGCAGCTTCATGCCAGCCTGGTCAGAAAATAGTACAGCTGTGTGTGTGGTCATGGCAAGTCCAGGATACCCAGGAGATTGTGACAAAGGCATGGAAGTAACAGGTAACTGCAATAGGTTGTTTACTATTTAATTTCAGTGTAGTATTTCAGCAGGTTTGCATATAACTCTTCTCCCAGAGATCTATAGAGCTTTCCTCCATCCCACCCCTCACACGCTATCAGAGTCTGCCTTCATCTGTCACTTCTTGTCCTTGTGGAAGGGATAGCTGTTCAGCGAGGTCTTTTAATTAGAATGTATGCCTGTCCGAAGTAGCACAGAGGGTAAATGTTTAAAGTCGTATCATTATCTGAAGCTCTGTCTGTAGCTGGTTGCTGACATAAGATGTGATGGGGAATTATGTTCTCCTGGAGCAACTCTGGTGTGTCCACGTGGAGTGCTTCCACAAACTGTGCTGGAAACATGGACCACAGCGTTGTCAGCACGTGACTGCTTTTTCCTAGCTTTGCTCCCTTGCCAGGAGGTCATGTTATCTTAGCTAATGCCTGATCGGGTGATAAGGGTGAGACTTGAGGACCTGTGGCCTTTAAAATAGCAGCGGTTCATGCCTCCACCATCAACTTGGTTCCTTCCCTTGTGCCAGCCAGCCAGGTCATTACTGTGTAATACTAATAAGGACCTCTTTTCCACAAGGCTCAAAGGGGTTTTGGAAAGTTGGGCATGTGGACTTCAGATCAATACTCCTTTTCTGTGTTAAACTTGTTGTGGTTTAATATTAAGATTAAATTTTTTTAAATGTTTACTTCCTTCAGTTACTCCCTTGCCAGTCCAACACTATTGCTTGTGTAAAGCAACCCAGACATTTGATATTATATCGAGGCCACCTTATTTTTTTCAGAACTCCGGTTATCCTACATCGCTCAGGGATAAAGCAATATAACATAACCTCCTCCCTGAGCAGAAACCTGCTGTCATGTTCTCTTTGCCCACTCTCCTCTTCCAGTTCACTCACTGTATTTATTTTGTTTTGTCAGTGATATTCTGTGGAACTCTGCATTTCTGTAACTGTAAAAATCCAAACCACATAACTGAATGAATCTCTCTGCTAATAAGCTGCCTTTCACTGCTCAGTCTCAGGAACTTAACTTTTTTCAAGTTGATATTCATAACTTTAAGAGTGAGGTTGTATGACCACTCTGCTTGTTGATCACGAAAAAGTCAAAACAACATAATTAAATTCATTCTTTCATTATTATACTCCAAGCCCTGCAGTTGTGGGTTTTATTGGGTTTTTTTCCTGTTTTCCACATTGATTCCCACATTCTAATGGCTTTAAAAAACATTTTGTTCTGGAATAGTTGCTAAAACATCACGGAAAGGAGTTAGGTTTCCATTACAGCAAGGCCAGCTGGGGCTCAGCTTTGACCTTGTCAGGGCCATGCTGTGGCAACATAACACACTGTACTTTCAGCAAGTATAAAGGTTCCGTGTACTTGTTTATAAAAACCGTCTAGCTGACAGTAAGGGGAAAACTGCTCTGTTTCACTTTTTCCAAGCGATGGCAGCAGTTCCTCCTCTACCCTTATCTTCGCCTCAAAACATGTATCTAAAAAACCCCCTGAACAGTCTTGCTTTCCTCTAACAGGAAAATACCTGGAAACAAATTAAAAGAATAAAATATGTCATTTGTTTCAGCTACATTTCTTTTAGCTACATTTGACAGCCACCTACAAGTGTTCGTAGAGCACTGATTCCAGGTGTGGTAGGGAATTGTGTGGAGTGGGCACAGCAGACTTGCTAGGGGAGTGCTGGGGTAACTTTAACGTTAATGGTTTAATATCAGGGAGAGGGGAAAATCCAAGCAGTAAACTGCTGTGAACTGTGATTTCATACAGAAAAGCCCTGCACAAATTATTCACAATCACAATATTCAGCACAGTTTTGCCCTGGCACAGGCTAGTTATACGTCCTACTATGGCTCCTGGATCTCTTATTTCTGTTCCTTTGTTATCTGTGTCCTAACTGGATGTGTCAGAAGAGAGTCTGGGGGCCAGGGGAGAGGGATACCCTTCAGTGGTAATGCTGTTTCTTGGAAGAAAGGTAAAGTGGGAGGCTTTATTCTTTTTCTCCCTTGCTTATTGTTCTCTCTTGCCTGTTCTCCCTTTTTTCAGTCTTCACTGCTTTGCCAACATAGTATGTGATTTAAAATACTCAAGAGTTCCTTTTGCTTTTGTAGGACTGCTGCAAGCCAAAGAGTTAGGACTGGAGGTGTTCCATGCTGGCACAACGCTGAAGGATGGCAGAGTGGTGACAAGTGGTGGCAGAGTCCTCTCCATTACTGCTGTTAAAGAGGACTTGATGAAAGCATTGGGAGAAGCCAACAGGGGTGTAGCAGCCATACATTTCAAGGGTGCCACTTACAGGAAGGATATTGGCCATCGGGGTATACGACTTCTCAAACACTCTCTGTATGTAAGCAAAGGCACTAGCAGAAACAGATGCTAGTCCAGAGTTTTATATCTATTGTTCCTATTTGTGTCATGCATGATGGTCTATGCAGAAAATGTCACTGCTGCTGCTAGCATGTCCTTTTCTCTCCACAGGGGTCTAATATACAAAGAGAGACGTGTGGAAGCTGTAACCAGTGATGTTTTGTTTCATCAGCCAGAAACATCAGTTGTAAGTGGTACCAGATCAGGTAAGACTGGGAAGAATCTTTGAATTTCCTCAGTATTGGCATTGAAATTGAGCTTGAGAAGCTGGGCTGGGGTCACCATGAAGAAAGAAAACTCTCATTTCTTTCTCATCACTCCTCATTTGCTTAATTAAAAAATAGTTGGCTTAACGTGGGGATGATTGCACTTTTTCAAGGTTAGTCTAGTGAACAGAATTAACTCCTGGATTAATGGAATGGCTTGGTATGTCACTGGGCAGAAGTGATCCTACCAGCTGTATATATAAGTACAACACCCAAACAGTTATTAGGGTGTGGCTAACAATCACTGAACTTGTTATGTGCTCTTCAGACTATGTTCTTTACTCTCAGCAGTGATCTACTGAGGAAAATTTCTTGTTGATTTTTTCCCCCTTAGAAAAAAGTAGCTACATAAAGAAAAAGGTGAGCTGTTAACAGTTTGGTAAAATGTTTAACCTTTGCTATACACAATCCATAGGTCACAAACAGAATAATAAAGATCTATGTACAATACCACGAAATATGTGGCCTTGGGGTCCATGCTTCATAAAGCTCTGCATGTTTCTGTCAGTGGACAGAGTGCCGTCTTCTCCAAGAGATCATAATTTACAGTACTTGCCTTGAAGAGTGTTTTGGGTCTTTTATTTCCCTTAAAAATGATCCTTGACATATTTGTACTTGGCAGGCAGTCATTCAGAAGTAGGAGGCTTTGCTGGTTTCTTTGACTTGAAAGCATCTGGTTATGATGATCCTATCTTGGTATCTCAAACTAAAGGCCTTGGACCTAAACTGCAGGTAACTTGCAACTTGGCTGTAGCAAAGCTCATGTTATCTCCCAAGACTGTTTCAAATGCCACAGCTAATTGCACGCTCTGCACCCTTCTGAGCATTCTAAATACATCTCAAGCGCACTGCAATGGTCATTTGAACTTTGTAGATGATCATTTGAGCAAGGCCTGTGCGTATGTTATTGAGAATGTGGAGCCTCTGGAGATTTTGTGATAAAATGATAATAAACCAAAATATATAGCTGAGCACTTTAGAAACTGAGAACCAGAATTTCTCCTGTAAAATAGAGGGCCTGTTGGCTTTAAGAAAGGTCAGGACAGGATGACTGTCAGACTTAGCTTAATAAATTGTATGCGGAGAAGTAGCATGGTTACCTTTGTCAGGGCACTATGGAAAAGAATGATGGAGGTGACAAACATTAAAGCAGAAGAGAAGCCAACAGATAAAGAATGCTAATTACACAAAAATACATAGGATAAGTTGAGCCAGGAATATATATATATTGAAGCAGAGGGTGGCTTTCAGCCAAAAGAGGAGTTGGAGATCCGAAGCTGCCTTTCACTGGTCAAACACAGCAACTTAACTTGTTTCAAGTTGGTGTTTATACCTTTAGTAGTGGGATGATGATATTGTGTGGCTTCCTGCGACAGCAGGAGACTGAACAATATAATCCAGAAGGTCTTTGCAGTGTTACATTCTTGGACACCTCTGAGCATGAAAAAGCAATTGGTGCTGGCTCTTGTGTGTCTTTGTTCCAACTGCTTGGCAGAGAGGCATTCCCAACTGTGTTTACACAGATTGTTCCCAAGACTCTTCCTTGGCCAAAAAAAGTTGGCTAATGACTATATGAATTGTTACTAGATCAGTGGGAGGGAGATTTTGTAATGCAACAAAGGACATGGGACAACTGGTTTCCATAGCACTTCTAAATCCATCAGCCACTGAAAGAAATCGGGCTTGTAATCCAAATTCAGACTTTCTTTAGGTGCTGATCTGTTACTGTTTTGAAGCCAGCAATAGTATTTATCTGCATTTTTCCCTTGCCCATCTTTCTGTACTGAGCTTTTCTGCACTGCTATAACTACACTGATAGAGCTGTGACAGTAAAAGGTAGTTACCTTGAAAATTTATCCATGTATATATGTAACCTTTGTCCTATTTCAGACCCTAAAGTGGTAACTGACAGAGATGAATTGCACTGGGTGAGCTGATACTGTGCATGTACATCAGCAGTTGGCACAAATGGAGCTGCTTGGGTGTATCCATGACAGTGTAGAAACCTCTGCTTGTAATAAAGTAGTGTAAATGTCACCGCTTTATAGAAGTCATGATGTCTGAATCAGGTTGTAGGATGCAAACACCTTGAAAAGTGTTTTTTTTTTAAAAAACAAATAGCAGCCTTCCCGAGGGAAGTATTATTGCTTTGTGAAAGACCTGTCTTTCAAGGGAGCTACAGGCCCACGTTTTTGTCTGTGACCTGAGAGAGCTGAGATCAAAAGACCCCTTGGGGAGGGTGGGAGTGAAGAATCTCATTCCCTGTGGACTTGGAGAAGAAGAAAAAAGCTACTTAACAAATTGTTTCAGTTCTGCCATGTAGCCCTGTGAAATTAGCATGCAAAAGTAAAGCAGAACACACAGTGATGTTTGAGCAACTTGATCTTGTTTTTGGAAATTACTAGGATGTTCTGATGAATATCCTGGGAATTTGTAATTGCTTTTAGACACCTTATATTCTGGATTTGACATAATATTCCAAAAAGCAAACAACCAGCCAACCCGAAATGACAAGTTGTGGGTAGCTGGAGCTAGAATTGGAGTGAAAACAAAATACATTTTTCTTTTCTTTGCAAGAGAATGAGCTGCTTTCTCTTGATAAAAACTAGGTGATGCACCAGTGTGTCTTCTGCATGTATGTTCTTTTGTGATTCTTTTCAGGCAAAATAAGATTTCTGCTTATTTGACTGATTAATGTCTGAGTTTTGCATATTTCTTGTCACCACTACTCATTCCCACCATGTTTTGCAGATTGCACAGGTATGTAAGAGACACGACACCATCGGTCAGGACCTGGTCGCCATGTGTGTCAATGCCATCCTGGCTCAAGGAGCGGAGCCTCTCTTCTTCCTCAGTTATTTTGCCTGTGGCAAACTTGATGTTGAAGTGACTGAAACAATCAAAGAAGGAATAGCTGAAGCTTGCAGAAATGTAGGATGTGCTTTCCTGGGTATGGACACTCCTTTCCTTTGAGATTTGAAGGTTCCAATGTTGAAACAATTACTAGTGAAATAGACTTCGTAGGCAGAAACACTATGTGGTAGTAGAACAGCTGGCTTCTGTTTGGTGGAAAAAAAGAGTCAAGCATTTGGGCTTAAACTCTTCCTTATCTCTAAAATAGGTCAGCAGAGAGGGATGATTTTTACTATTCATGCATTTGGGTCCTTATTCTTGCTTATTTATCCTTGTACAAAGGAGAGCAAAACTGGATGCCTTACATTCCTGAAGTCTTAATATGTTTTCATTCCCTCTGCTACTCAGTCATAGCAGGGAGGTGCCAGATAAGGAGCATGAAATGAAAAAAAAGAAAAAAATTATTCTTTCAGTAACGTCATGAAACTTTGTTTTCTTGAAGTCTTGAGGTGAGGTAAGAAACCAACAAGGATTTTAAAAATATATCTGAATGCACTGCTTAGGCTGCATGTCTCTTGGATATGTTACTTATTTTAGGAGATGCTATAGAGCTAAAGTTAACAATAAAGAATGTTTACAGCTAGTGCTGACTGCTTTCTCTCCCCATGTAGGCAGGGAGATGGCTGAGGTGGCTGGGATGTATTCTTCTGGGGAGTATGACCTGGCTGGCTTTGTGGTTGGTGCAGTGGAGCGAGGGCAGATGCTCCTGGGGCTGCAGAGAGCTGAGGAGGAGGATGTGCTTATTGGACTGGCCTCTTCTGGGATTCACGGCCGTGGCTTTAGCATCATAAGGAAGATTCTTTTAATGTCCTCCTTACACTACTCCTCACCAGCACCTGGCAGTTGTGGTGACAAGACTCTAGGTACAATATCTTTCTTTTCAAAAGCCAAACCTGCAAATGAATTGTGTTCAGTCATTTTCATAACTAGGTGCTGCCAAGGGTTGTTTACTTCAGGGTGGGTTAGGGTTTGTCAGTCTTTGGGGTAAGTATGGGGGCTTGCTTCCACAGTTTTGGAAGAGTGGGCCAGCATTTCTTGCTGCTTCCCAGTGCAGTCTGCCACAAAGAGCAGAAGGGAACCTGTTCAGAGAAGCATTCCCACTGAACACCTAATGACCTTTTAAACAAATTGATTGAATTGATGCTTTTGGTTGCAGGAGATATATTGCTGACCCCAGCAAAAATGTACAGTCCGTCTTTGCTGCCCGTCCTTCGCTCAGGGCACGTGAAGGCTTTTGCCTTCATTGCTGAGGAGGGTTTGCTGGGAGGCATCTCCAGAATCCTGCCAGAACATGTCAGCGCTGTCCTAGGTAAACATTAAAGATGACTGTTTCTGTTTGACAAAATTTATATATAGCATGGATTTGACTTTTCAGCTTCAGTTATAGAGATACTCAGAAATGCATGTGTCTGTATAGTTGGACACTGAATGACCTGAAGTCAATGCTTTTCCAAAGAGCCTACCAAAAGCATTCCTATTTTGAGCAAGCATAAGCTGATGATCACCACTCTGTCATTTATAAGGAAAATTTAAGGAGAGTTTGAGGGCAGCCCATCTCTAGGACTAAAGGTGTTTGAGAAGATTGTGTGTTCTGCAAGACGCCTTTCCATACTAAACATTTTGACCAAACAGTGAAGCTTGTTGAGAGAATTAATTTGCATGATTTAGAATCAGAGAATCATAGAATTGTCTAGGCCAGAAGGGACCTCCAAAGGCCATCTAGTCCGACCTCCCCGCAGTCAGCAGGGACACCCCCAACTAGACCAGGTTGCCCAGGGCCTCGTCGAGCCTCTCCTTGAGTATCTCCAGGGATGGGGCCTCAACCACCTCCCTGGGCAACCCGTTCCAGTGCTCCACCACCCTCACAGTAAAGAACTTTCTCCTAATCTCCAATGTAAATCTGCTCCCCTCCAGCTTAAAGCCATTTCCCCTTGTCCTGTCACTACAGGCCTTTGTAAACAGGCTCTCCCCAGCCTTCCTGTAGGAACGCTCAGGCTTTCAGTACCCCCTCAGGCACTGGAAGGCTGCTATTAGGTCTCCCCGGAGCCTCCTCTTCTCCAGGCTGAACAACCCCAGCTCCCTCAGCCTGTCCTCGTAGCAGAGGTGCTCCAACCCCCTGATCATCCTTGTGGCCCTCCTCTGGACCCGCTCCATCAGGTCCATATCTTTCCACAGTACATGTACAGACACACACACACATACATATTAAATGCAGATTTATGGTAGGTGGTAGCTTCCCCACAACAGACTAGCATTTGACATCTGTAAGTAAGCCAAAGGTGGGCAAAGTATTAAAAAGTTCAAAATATTAAAGAAAACCATTTTTATGGAAGTCCAAAAATGTTGTGGGGATAGGGAGAGGGGGAAGGAAGGTGTCTGTATGTCTGTCTGTATTTCTCTGGAATGAAATTAGAAAGGAAAAGAATAAACCCAGCTTACTAGGTGATGCCTAGCTTGCTTGCCAGTGCCTGGAACCACAGACAAGATAACAAGCCCAAGGGATTTTTAGTTTTCTAAAGTGAAGTCAAGATTTCAAGTCTGCACCACCAAGCTTTCCACAGACAACCTAAGGCAATGCCTGTGTGAGTAGGGTCACTGTGAAAGCCCATCCATGCTTCCCGTCCGTGTGTAGAACACCCAGCCCTGTTCCAGTCTGCCCATCAATACACCTAATTATACACTCTTCTACTAATTACTGATTCTTTGAAACAGAAAACCAGGATCTGCTTAAGTAATACAAAAAAGCCAGAAGATGATTTGTCCCATGGCTCCTTTATCTCTTACAGAAGAGATGTAAAGCCTAGAGAAGACTTGGCTTGCACAAATTATGGCTAGAAACCTCTAGCTAAGCAGCACCTATAAATTTGACTGAATGTTGGGTTAGTGTCCTCCTTGGACAGTATTCTTAAAAAAGCAAGAATTACTCTCTATCAGCTCTTGTAATACACCATTGTCATTGTATATAATAAAAGACAGGTAGCAAACGTTTGTGGTAACCATGCACACATTTCAATCGTTTTCAGATGCTCTCAGTTGGAAGATTCCTGAAATCTTTTGCTGGCTTTACAAGGAGGGAAGCCTCTCTGAGGAGGAGATGGCTCAGACATTTAATTGTGGAATTGGTGCAGTCTTGGTTGTGCAGAAGGACCTGGCTCAGCATATTCTCAAGGATGTACAGAGACATGAGGAAGCTTGGCTGATTGGGAAAGTTGTTGCTCCGTGTCACACAGGTTAGCAAGTGTCCTAATGGGAAGTGAAGACACTCAGTAAACAGACTATGGTTTGATTCAAGGTGTAACAGGTTCATCTGCTTCATCTCAGAGGGGTTTCCACTTTAGGATGTGCTATTTAATTTTTTAAGTTCATGCAGGGTAAATTGGTTTAGCATGTGACTCTGTGAAGTGCTGAGCATCTCCTGGGAGGTACCAGTTATTCTCTGTGCTGTAAGCACTGAAGAGATTCGTTATTGCAAAGTTTCTGTAGTTCATATCTTTTTTCTGTTATTTGATTAGGCTGGAGGCCACTTGATACACTCACAACTAGATTTCATTATCAAATGCAGTGAGAAGTTAATGACTTGTATTCAGAGTGATGAAACTTGAGTAGTATCTTACCTAGTACCTGTTTGTGACTTGAGTAAATCCCTCTAATGACTGTCTGTAAGGACTCAAACATTGTTTAGTTGATTATATTTTACCACAGTTGTACTCATAATCAACCCACCTCCTTTCCAACCCATTCCCAACTCTTATGGATCCTATGCAAAGATTGAGGATAGGCCACAGGTGTGTACAGTCATATGTGATGGTGAGTCTTCATTCTGGTATGTCCATTGCTTGACATAGAGCAAGAGATGAGCCAAAGTCCCCCTGGAGACCACACAGCCTGGGGAGCAGTTTGGGCAGCCAAAATGCAACCTCAGTTCTGTCCACATCATTTTTAGTGTAATTTTGCAACATGAGAGAAAGAAGAAGACAGATATCAAAGATGGGAATAATCCTTAAAAAATCCATGCCTTTGCAAACAATTTTGTGAGTCCATAGAGATCAGCACTAGTGTTTGTTCAAGTAGTACAGATTTTTGTAGTTCAATTAATGGTAGCATAAATTCAGGTTTTTCTGATAGGTTTTTCTCTTAATTGAAACTTATGATTAATAAACTATACAAAGTACATTTAGATGGAAAAGTAAAATCTAAGTTATTTTAACATTTTCCTCATATTTTTGAAGGAGGTTCTCGTATCAAAGTCAAGAATCTTCTAGAAGCTCTGCAGCTGAGCAGCCCCCAGCACCTGCTGAATAGCACTCTTGTCGAGAGTCAACACCAACCCAGAAAGAACAAAGTTAAAGTAGCTGTTCTCATCTCTGGAACAGGTGAGCTTTCATTTATCATCACACAGAGAAATGTCCTTACAAAGGAGAGGCTGAATTCAACCCTGATACCAGTGCGTCCACCTTGCCTTTTTTTTCAGTGGAGCCTTCTAAAACCAAGGTTTTGACTGGAAGTCAAGAAGGTGTGTTGTACTGCTTAACAAATGAGCATGATTAGTGCACAGATTCCTTAGTCCTCTTCTATTCATGCCGTTGTTGAAAATAAGACTTTTGTTAGATAAACGGAATGGAGAGCCAATTCTCAGTAACATAGATGTTCATCTGTTTCATGAATGTTTGCTCTCTCTTCATTTGAGGCACAAACCTTGCTGCGCTCATCAGTTATGCAAAAGAGCCAGGCAGTTGTGCTCAAGTTGTGCTTGTCATCTCCAACAAGTCTGGTGTGGAAGAACTACGAAATGCAGCCCGGGCTGGAATTCCCACCAGGGTAAAGACACTCATTTTCTTTTTATGACCAGCTCACAGCTACTGAATCTATAGGTCTTTAGGAGATGCTTGGTAGGGATTTGTGCTTCACTTTTGTTTAAAACTTTTATGTGGATGCAGCACAAAGCTGTCAAAGTTATCAGTAGAGACAGGGCTGAACGCTGCATGGACCTAACACAGTGCTCACTGGAGGCTGTGAGTGTCTTTCTCATCTCTTCAGTGAATGTTACAGTCCAGAGTTAGGAAGGGACTTAAAATAAGCATGTGCCTACATTTAGAGATGGGCTTGAATGTCACTGAAATCAGTATACTTACATGCTCCTTCTGCAAGAGCTTTGATGATTTGGGTCAGAGACTGTAGCCCGTGCAGCTTCCAGCTTTAACAGAAATCAGTAATTCTTCAGGCTCTGAGAAACACATAAGCATGTTGTCTCCTTGGCTCGTCCATTCTTAGAAACTCGTGTTGTATTCAATGACTTTCACCGGCACCATACAAGTCTCTTCTCCTACCTGTAGTCAGTAAAGTAGCACTATGTTATGGAAATTTTCACTGGTTTGTTTCATAAAACAAAGATTTAGAAGGAGAGTCAAATATGCTAACATCATGATGTCATCATATTTGACTAAGTGTAGAATGTGTCTTTTGAAAACATACAGCAACTTGGGATTTCAAATACAGCCCACCAGGAACTCCTGCTTTGAATGTTTAATGACTTTGAGCAGTTATCATGTTTGTACAGCTATGCACAGATGGAAATAAATGCTGGTGGAGACTCTCCATGCATTAAAAAGTTTTCAGCAATCTTCCTCAACAGCTGAGTTGGATTCATGTTACTTTTTTTTTTCTGGCAATATAAAGACAGATCTCTGGTAAACAAAGTTATGTCAAAATTTATTCACATTTCCATAGGCAGGAGCTTTGTAAGCCCCTTTTTTTAATGTCCTCGTGAACAGAGTCAGAAATCAACACTTGGCTTGGGAGCTGCCGCTGAGAGGTGGAGTAGAAATAGAAGACTTGACTCCTCTCCTTACACAGAATGTCTGACAAGTTTGTTGTCTTTTTAGATAAGTTCATGATTTTCAGTAAACAACTATAGACTGACTGGTGGAGATGATGTCAATGAGTCATTATTATTTTTACTTTAGTCTTCAGCTAGACATTCTGGAGTAAGAGGTCAGTATTTTCCAATGTGTTCCCCTTTGTTTCCCTCTATGCCACATTAGCCATGTTTCTCTTTACGCAGTTGGCTTCTCTTTGGGCTGGTTTTCTCCAAATCCTAGAAGGCATCCTATGTGAAACAGCCAGTGTTAGCTAGCAAGTGACTGGGGTGTTACCAGGAATGTTTGTATGAATGTGAAAGATCACAAATGTCCTGAATAATGTAAAAATTTATAACCTTAAAAGTCATCAAGTTCCCTGGAATTAATCTGTTTTGCATTCTCTTTGTTGCCCAAGTAGTGTCTCTCATTCACACAAAGTTATTTCTTTGATATGGCTTTTGATGTGTTTTAGGTGATTGACCATAAGTTATATGGGAGTCGCTCTGAATTTGACAGCACGATTGACCGAGTTCTTGAAGAATTCGCTGTTGAGCTAATATGTCTGTCAGGATTTATGAGAATTTTGTCTGGTCATTTTCTCAGAAAATGGAAAGGTAAGAAATGGTAACTGTAAAAGAGAAATTAAAATATGGGTGCTTGGTCTCACCAGAATGACACAGTCATGGTTCTTTGTCTTTTGGTTAAATCTCTCACAGCCTTGCTGACACTCACGTTTGCAGTTGGTCTGCCTGCCTTCCTGATGGGAAGGAGAAATGCCTCCTCTGGGAGGGCGAAAAGGAGTTTGGTTCTGTCTGCAGTAGGGGACAGGTAGCGTAACTGTGTCATTTGTCAAGGAGCCGTGCTGGGGAGTTGTGCTGCACTTACTCCCTGCAGTTGTCACTCAGAAAAACATGGGAGAGAGACTGATTTCTCAGTTGATCTCCCTTCTGCGCTGCCCTGAGGGCTGCACAGCGTAGCGCTGCTCTGGACTGTGTGCTGGAAATGCAGCCATCACAGACCCCCGAGAAACTGTGGTTCTGCTGGGGGGCAGAGCTTGCTTTAGATGTGCTCCAGGCCAGCAGATGGGGGAACACACACTCCTCTTTCCTTTTGGCTGTGGGCACCAGGAGCCAGCTCCTAAGGCCTGGCTCAGAGGTTAGTCACTCACTATGCACATTGCACTTGGACAGGCTCCTTTGGGAATGATGTTTCCTATGAAGATCACTTCCATCTGTGCAATGGCTGTGCATGAGCATGCAGCATGAAGTCCACTTCCAAGCCCCTCATGTGCAGCACGAGGGCTGGTCACCTGGGAGGGGAGAGACTTACGACATTGTCCATCCACAGATGGAAAAGCAAATGAGATCCTTGGTCTTAACTGAAATGTGCTTCCCTGGCTACTGCCACAGCCTGCACCCCATCACCTGTGTTCCTGGAAGAGCAGTATTTCCTCAGCTCAGAGCAGTGCTTCCTCAGGTTTCCTTAGGGGTCGTAACACCATGTATACTTCATTCTTTTTAACCTGAATCTGAACATGCCCTGTTATATTCTGACTGCAGTTCAGACCATTTAAACTCCTGAGTGGTCCTCAACACTGTTGTTTTGAACTGATAATCCCATCTCACTTTTATTTTTAAAGGAAATTCAGTTCAAATTGATTTTATTTTTTTCACTTTTTTTTCTCCTCTCACACTGATGCCCAGGGAAAATTTTGAATGCTTCCCCTTCATTTTTCCCACCAATCAAGGATGGAAATGCCCATCAGCAAGCCCTGCAAAGTGGATTCAAAGTCACAGGCTGCACCGTGCATTTTGTTCTGGTAAGTGTCCTCTTGCCTAACACCGAGTAAGTTATGAAAAAGAGTTTTCTTTTTTCTTTTCTTTCTGAAGGCAGAAGCAGGAAGAGGTAGCAGAAGAGCAGCAGGTAGAGTAGCCCCTCTGCTCTGCCCTGGTGAGGCCCCTTCTGGAGTACTGTGTCCAGTTCTGGGCTCCCCAGTTCAAGAAGGACAGGGAACTGCTGGAGAGGATAGAGCAGAGGGCTACCAAGATGATTAACATCTCTCTTACGAGGAAAGGCCGAGGGATTTGGGTCTTTTTAGTCTGGAGAAGACTGAGGGGGGATCTGATCAATGCAAAGGGATCGTGTCAAGAGGATGGAGCCAGTATTTTTTCAGTGATGCCCAGAGATAGGACAAGAGGAAATGCGCACAAACTTGAATATAAGAAGTTCCATCTAAACATGAGGAGGAACTTCTTTACTTTGAGGGTGGCAGAGCACTGGAACAGACTGTCCAGAGAGGTGGTGGAGTCTCCTTCTCTAGAGACATTCAATACCTGCGTGGACACTCTCCTGTGTAAGCTGCTCTAGGCGGACGTGCTTTGGCAAGGGGGTTGACTAGATGATCTCCAGAGGTCCCTTCCAACCTTATATCATTCCGTGATTCTGTAAATGTGTGGAAATCTTGGGATTGTTACCAGTAAAAACAGGAAGATGTGGGGGACATGTTGCATTTGTGGTTTCTTGAGGTCCTGTCTTCTTCCTTCATATGACCTTTTTATCTTCAGTTTTTCCTGACCTCAGTAAACTGCCCTCTGAATCTTGTAGCTCATGTCTCTCTCCCCGCTGTACCCCCTAATATAATGTAATGTACCTCCTAATGGAGGTTGTAAGCTTCTCCAGATGTACTTTAAGCCTCCTGAACACAGCTACAGATGTGCTCACCGAGATCTCTCATGAGACCTTCTCTGTCCCAACTGCATCATCCATAACTTTTCTGAGCCTGTTCACCAGCCTCTTCTGAAAGACTGCCAATATTCCCCTTTCAGGAGGAATCTAGTCCAAAAGCAGTGATCCACCAGGAGCCGGTATCTGTGAAGGCAGATGACACCGAGGAGACACTGTCCGAAAAGGTTAAAGAAGCCGAGTGCCGGGCTTTTCCCATCGCCCTGCAGCTGGTGGCCAGTGGAGCAGTGCAGTTAGGAGCTGATGGTAGAACGTACTGGAAACAAGAGAGCCAAAGCCTGTGTCTTCAAGAAGAGAAGAGAGACTGTACATCCTCTCTCCTGGCTCTGGAGCCTCAAGAAGACGATGTGGTGTAGCCAGGTTAACGAGTGGCTTGCTCTCTGCTCATCTTTCCCTCCTCCTCCCTGCCCTTGATGTGCTTCTCTCTGCAGGCGTATCAGTGTCACTGGTTTCCATTCTGAGCTGGGAGCCTTTTCCCTCAGCTTGCAGCTTTAGTTACACGCCTTTCGCAAAATTGGCAGTGGAAGCCAAGGTATCATTTCAGATTTTGAATTTCTTTGTTCTATTTTTTCTTCTTCTAAAGGAGATACTGTGTTACAGATCAAAGAGGGGGCTCAAGCTGTAAAAATGGTCGAGCGCTTCAGAGGGAAATGAATTCTTCACTTTTTGTTGACTGCATCACATTGCAGAGCACCAAGAGCTTCACAGAGCAGCCTCAAACACAAACCATGGTGCTGCAGGAGGGTGACCAGCTACTGCTGGATGGAAGAGGCCAGCCATGTCTGAAGCGAGGCCCAGCATGGCACGGTGTGGATTTGGGGGTGACCAAGCATTACAGATGAATACATAGTTCTGTGGGAGGAGGTGGGACTCTGCAAGGACCTCCTCCTTGTGAGCCTCACCACCGTGGGAGCACCTCAGGGTACAGGGAGAAAAGGGACATGCAAAACATGTGCACCAGCCTGGGGGCCAGCGTCTAGTAAGCTGCCAAGCAGAAGCTCCAAAGGCCAACAAGGCAGGGAGCTTTTAAAAGGCAAAAAGAAATGGAACAAAGTTCCCTTCACCGGTTATTTGTCAATACGATGTATCAGTGCATGCTGAACATACATCTAGGCACTTTCCCCTGCTCCTTGAAAGGGGTTGGCACGTACACCTTCCCCAAATTTCACATTGAAACATTTGGATCTTAAAGGACGTAAATTTGTTTAGAAACACCAGATTTCCTTTGTCTTTGAAATCAGCAGGATAAGACATCATTAACTTAACTTGCAGCGGCAGGAAGATCTGTTTTCTTTGTTGACTGAATGATTGGCTTGGTCCAGCGAGTTGCTGCTGTTAAATACAACCCTTTTCTGTGGGAAGCTTATTTTACATCTGCCAGAATAATGACTTGCATGCAAGTAACATAAATCAGAGGAAGAAAGCTAGCTAAGAAGCTACTTGAACAAAGCAGAAAAGAAGTAGCTGAACTTTCAATTTTCTAGGGGAGGGATCACTAATAGCCATTAGATGAAGTGAAAAAAAAGTGTAATCTTGTTTTGGTGTTACATGTACTGTACTAGTAAGGGACATACTGTGTCACGCTGCTTGAGATCAAGAGTCAGCTCCAGTTAAAAAGTCTAAAGTGGTTTTTTTGTGTTTTTTTTTTCCTTTTTGAAGTGTGTAGCTTGTGGTGTTTCGGTAGTTAGGGAGAAGAGAAAAATTCAGTTCCCTCCTGTAAGCTCTGCCGTTTATGTACAGAGGTTTGTTTGTCTCTTGCATTCTAACTGGAGCAAGGAACACATATTTTTCATGATCTGGGAGAAGAAAGAAGAATTGTAACAAGGCAAGAAGTTTGGTATAATGTAAATAATATTTATGATAAACACATGGCTTAGTTTGGTTTCAGTCTGTTGTAACTGTGTAGTAACTTCATGTTGTGTATTACTTGAATTGCATAGCACGCGTGACTGAATGTTTCAAACCTAAGGAATAAAATGTTAAAAGAGAATAGGGTGCTCTTTATTGTGCCCTGATGGGTCTGCAGACCATCACCATGGTATCGAACAGCTCTAATTATGTCCCTGGCATCCCTCTGAGATTGGGTGTGGTGTTAGGCTATTAATCTATTTATTCTTTTACAGAATGATAATTAAAGCAAAGCCGTCTAAGATCCAGTTCACAATGAAATTTCTTTTTATGCATTTGCAGAAATACAGATGGGTGCTTAAATCCAATTTGTCATCAGCCTTAGAAGGCAACATACTTGAGTCTTGCTCAAGAGGTGTGTGGTGGCACCCAGGTTTTCTGCTGTTGGCCTTCCTGGCAGTGATCAGTAATGTTATATTTATTAATACATTTAATATTTAATACTACATTTATTAATGTTGTATTTATTAACTGCAGTGATTTCACCCCTAGTCATATTACTTCTTCTCAGGCGTGAGTTAATTTAAGTACATTTTCTTTTGACTTGTGGAAGGTTTGCTGTGTCACGGTGAAGGCACCGAACTGCAGCCCTGCCAGCGCTGGATGCTCCCCACAGCTTTTACATTCCCACCCCGACGGGCTGCATTTCAAGCCCCGATGGGCAGTTTGCCTGCGGGGGAGGCCCTTCTGCGGGAGGGCAGGTTTGTAAAGAAAGACACTGGGCTGAAGAGTGAGCTTTAATTCTTTGCCCTTTACAAGCAAATTAAATTTGACCGCGTCATTTTCCTCTGCATTCGCTTGAGCTTTATCCTTGGTGACAAATGATGACAGGAGTATTTTGTCAGCAAGTTTCTTCCTCGCAGACCATCTGGCTGCTGAAACAGGAAGGTCACGGCACTCCTCCAACCACCACTAACTTAGGCAGGAGCACACGTGTCTGTAACCTCCCCAACGCATTTACAGTTCCATACTGTAGACAAAGTCAGGTTCCCTTTCACAAACTGCTCCTCCAGCTTACACCTCCGGTAAAAGAATTCCGAGGACAGATTTTGGTATTTAATTTTTCAACTTTATTAGACTTTATTTCGAATCCAAGTTGAGATTACGCCAACACAGGAGTACCATCAGTGCACAGAACATAAGGCCATCAGTGCACAGAACACAAATCAGATTTTTCTGTATTAAAGGGGAGCTCTAAAACATACATAAACAGTTTCAGTCAGGTGCTTCTGGTTTGTATGGGGGAAAACTGATTATTTTAGTAAATACATCAAAATGTTTTCGCAGCTATGCTAAAACATTAAAAGAAAACCAGGTGCTTTTTGACGAGTTCAGCTGTGCAAAAAAACCTTATTGTTTTCAGAATGGTAACATTTAGTGGATTTCCATCGGTATTATTCCAGGGCGAAAATACTGTTCCAATAATAAAGGCACTTAACTTCAGCAGAATTTCTGAAGAATGTTTCACCCAAGAACACATTTTGTATTTAGTCTTAACTCCCTTTCTGCTCATTTAAGAAAATCCAACAACTCTTTTGACTCAGAGCAAATGTCTGAGGGGAATTCCTATGTGGATTCACATGGGGATGCTCGACGCCAAATGGTCAGCAGACATTTAATTCTATTTAGCATCTGATTGTTAGCAGGTCCAATATTTGAAATTATGGGATATGTCCAGAGAATCTGGGCCAGACAAGATCTACCAACATTAAAACAGAAACTACATGGAAAAAAATCCACCTCATTATCTGCAAGAACAGTTAGTGTTTTGGGAGGTCAGTTTTTCTTGTTTTGGCTAGAGGTTTTTTTGAGTTAAGGTTTTTTGCCGTCAGCTGTCCCTTCCGTTGCACTACTTCCATTACTTTTCCTCACAAACACTTCACAGCACATGACAAGGGAATCAATCCCCTGCTACAGCCTGTCTGGTCTGTTGGAGAGTGATACTGATGTTCCCCAGACAATCTCAGAGATGCTCGGATCTCTGTTGTTTTGTTTGTTTAGAAAGTGATTGAGAACCAAAATGCTGGCCAAGGAAGTAATTGTAATTACGAAGCATGTAACAGAACCGTAACTAACACTGCTGAGAGCAGCCCCCTGCCTTAATACTCCCATTTGGGGGCTTTCTCCAGATTTTACTTCAAATCTTTTAACCATTTGAGTGAGAACACGACATGGTAAACTCTACGTTGAAAACACTTTGTGAAGAGAATACAGTGTGCATGTTATTAGGCTGTGACCTCTTGTTTTCACCAATTAAGGCACCCATCTGAGCTGCCCCATCTGAGGACCTTCACGGATGTGCTGCTCCTACTTCCAGTAGATCTTGCCAGCTTCCCCCACCTGCACGGCCCCGCTGGCCACAAGCTGGAGGGCAGCAGGGAAGGCTCGGTGCTCGGCCTCCTTCACCCTTTCGGACAGGGTCTCCACTGTGTCACCAATCTTAACTGGAACTGCCTCTTGGAAAATGATGGCTCCGGCGTCGACTTCCTCCTGTAAAAGCAACACCCAGAGTGTCTGTGCGGTTGAAATGGGAGAGAGGGGGTCGGGGTCCCAGCTGTAGGACAATCAATGTCATCCAGCTGCCTCGGGGATCTGTTTATCATCACATTATTATCAGAAACATGCATTTTTGGGCCGGTGTGAGGAACGCAGAGAAGATGCCAGCGCTCAGGCTGGCCTGTGAGGAGCTAACAGCAGCAGAGGGTTGAAAGAAAAAGAGGCGGCAGGCGGAACACCAGCCAGTAACATTTCTGCTACAGTAAAAAACAACAAAAGCCGTGTTAACTGGGGACATGATAGGCTAAATTGGACAAAACGATGAACATTTCAGTTGAGAAGAGTGAATTAGCCAAGCCTTGGCACAGAGCGGGACTAGAGGACCCAGCAGATCTTTCTTTTGCATGTTAATGAGGCAGATCCCTGCTGTTCAGTTATTGTTTCTCAGTACATTGCCACATAGAGAAGCAACCCTAAGTCCTATCACAGAGAAAGGAATGCCCTTTTTCCTTCTATCTGGAAAAATAGTTTTTGTCTCTTTTTCCAAGAGAAAGCAAAAAATATGAGAGCAGATTTCAGGAGCAGTGGAAAAGGGGAGGATAATTTGAAGAATGCAGCAGAGGAGGGGAGGCTAGTTACTGTCAACCCTGAGAACTGAACCAGATGGAAAAAATACTCCCTGAACTGATAAAAATGTGCATCTTCCAAGTTTGAGAGATCTCTGGGGTTTGTTTTCTTAGTTTTTTACTAACATAAATGGTTAAGTTTTTCTCTGTTCCCACAAACATTTGATTACTTTTAACAAATCTAAGCTTTGTGTGCCATTTCCAGTGCTGGGTTGTTTTTTGGTTTTGTTTGGGTATTTTGTGGGTTTTTTTTGTTTTTTGTTTGTTTGTTTTTGTTTTTCTTGAAAGCAACAAATAAGGAAGGTTGTGTGATGAAATCTAAGAAGTTAGTGCTGTGTAGTAATAGAAATTTGGGGTTTAGCCAAGACCTTCCATGAACTGGTACCCTCACTGCAACTGGTGGAAGGCAGCAGTGGGATGCTTAGAGAAGTTGTTAACTTGGGAAAAGCTTAAACTCCCCTGTATAGACTATTTGTTTCCAGTTTCTTCTCCAGGGACAGCAAACTAAAGTACTTTATTGTCTAATAATGTTAGGAAAGAACAAAGGAGAAAATGTAATCAGATGAGATGGTATAAGGGTGTTGTTCCAAGCAAGCTCTGAGGTGAAAATCTTAAGGCTGGTCAGTTACAGAGAGTTAAAGAGGGGCCAAGGAGGTACTTACAGCTACAAAGTGCACAGTACAGCCCGTGACTCGGACTCCAGCTTGTAACACCAACTTGTGGGCATTTGCTCCCTTAAAGGAAGGCAGCAGAGATGGGTGGATGTTCAGTATTTTTCCTGGAAAATTATAAGCGAGATCATTGTCTTTTAGCATTCAGCCTTAGCAGAGTCTTCGAAGTACCATAATCAGCGGAGGAACAAAATATATTTGTGAAAGAGATTTTTCAGGACTTTTGCATACACTTGTTTTTTGATGATACCGACAGATAATCAGCCCAAAGCATTTCAGAGTGTCTCGCTGTTTCAGAAAATTCAAAGATAGCAATCAGATGCAATTAATTGCATGGCTAAAGCGTATTTCTCCAGTGACTAATAACGCTTTTTGACGTAGCTGTCCTTTCCCTCAGCATCTTGCTCTCCTCTTTCTTCGATCACAGGCACAAGGCTCCTTCTTACAAACTCAGCACCCAGAAGAAACTCGGTGCAGTTTCAAATGACGCAACAGATCACCCATGACAAGGCAAAAAATTCTTTAGCCGGGACTTTTCCTCCACACCTGTTTTGGCTTAGTAAAAGACAACAGCTGCTCCTACAGGAGCCCTTCTCCCTGCCCTTCCGAGAAGCACTACTACTTTCCGCATGGAAAGTTGGCTGGGGGGAAATTGATAATGTAGCCTCTTAATGCTCAACCAGGTGTGACCATGGTTATGACCCTGGGAACCCTGTACCCAGGGGTGCATGGAGAAAGCACACGACTGTGTGTCTCAGCTGTAAACTAGGAGAGAGTGGCTGCCCGTGACCTCAGGGTCTCGTGATGGTTGAACCATGAGAAAACCTTTCATTCTTCTGGCAGACTTCCCCTGTCGGCTCCTTGTTATGTCTGTGACAACTCCCCCTGCCCATTGTGGGCCGGAGTGAAGTCAAAAGGTGCTTGACAGCCCTAGATCTTCTCTTAGATTCAGTACAAACCCTTACAGGATTAAAAAAAATAAGAAGTGGCCATCGATACTATTTATATCTCAGTATGCTACGCCCCCGCTGTCTCTGCGTGCCTCCTGTTTAGGAAGGCTGTGTGTCATCAGGATTCACTGAACACCACCCAAATGCCAGCAGGGAGACTGAGCTGACACACGCTGGCGGAGGCAGCCGCGTACCGAAATAGAGGCTCAGGATTTTGTAATGTCAAGTGAAGGCCATTTCTGGCAGCGCCCTAAGAAACCGGCGCTCTCACTGCAGATCACTCGTGCAGATACTGACCTCTGCAACTGGTATCTCCCCATCTTCAACAGGGTCTCAG